ATATATATATATATATATATATATATATATATATGTGTGTGTTTAGATATGTATACAATTTTTTAACAAATGATATGTGTTTTAGAAAAAATAATAATTATATATTCACAAGATTTTAGACGTATTTTTAATCACAATAGAAAAATCGCGGTAAGTTGTATTGAAAAGGTGTTATGAGATAAAATAATTAAATAAATAATTAATAAAATACTTAATAAAAATATAATACATTAATTACCTTTGACTTTTCTTATTACAAATTATAGTAAATAAGATAGTTTTTTATATAAGTATAGATTTAATTATTTGTTTTACAGAATAGATTCTATATTCCATATTGTAGAGATTCTAATCGAAAAAAAAAACATCTATTATATATAATAGGAAGTTTGTTAAGTAAATATTTATAGAGATTCAAATCGGAAAAAACATCTATTCCATATTTATAGAGATTCTAATTGGAAAAAACATCTATTCCATATTACAATATGTAATTAATGAAAGTTTGTTAAGTTACTAATTTAAACAATAATTAATGAATTTGGCAGGAAAAGATTACTAAAAACGAATTAAGTTAATCCTTATTATATATTAATAGATTAGGAGAATAAAATTCCTACTAGAATCTTCTTTTGGGATTAGGAGACTTGGGAGCCTTCTAGAAGATGAAGATTAGTGGGAAATATATTTCCTACATTATATTATTAATTGAAGTAAAATTAGGTTTCCTAAATTAGGATTTAATTCTATTCCATGATTATTAATTAATTAGGAAAGGAAATTCCTACAAGGATCTTCTCTAGTGATAGGAGACTTAGAAGTCTTCTAGAAGAGGAGGATTAGTAGGAGATCTTCTTCCTAGATTGAGTTAGTATTGGAAGAATTAGGAGTCCTAGGCCTAATGGAATAAGCCCATATTTAGCACCTCCTTAAGGTCCCTAATGGAGCCTATATATACACCATGTCCCAAACTCTCCTACAAGTTGATGTTGGCCGATTTTCTCATCTACATACACGTGGAATTACTTTGTTCGAGAGTTAGGGAGATCCGATTAAACGCTCCACCAAGTTTAATTGGAATAGGTGTTTAGGTAATCCGTTAGAAGGCTTTTGGGTACAGTTATTCGAGCATATATATATATATATATATATA